TCAGTCCTCAGTTGTCCACGTCAGGTCCTCCTCCACCAATCAGCTGAGTGGAGACGGAGCGGCGTGGTGTGTCTGTAAGAGACAAAGTGTGAGTCAGTGTGTGTGTGTGTGTGTGTGTGTGTGTCAAAGGTTTCATGCAGACGACCAGAAAGTATTTGTTTTTTAATCTTTTTTTTTTTAGTTTTCTCTAAACACCAGTGTGTGGTTCAAACACAGAGACTAAAATGATGACATTTAAAGTTTGGAGATCCTTCAGTGACAGGACGTTGGTCTGTCACATTCAAACCGTGGATTCCGTTTGGTCAAACTCTCCCTTGGTCTGTCACATTCAAACCGTGGGTTTCGTTTGGTCAAACTCTCCCAGTTAGTTGATTGATTGATTGATTGATTGATGTCACAGTGACAACATTCCTTTATTGTCAAATCCTGAACCCGTTGTGTGGAGGTGAGATCTCCTCCGTCCTCTGAACTCCTGCCCTTTAACCACGAGGAGTTCTGAGGCTCGAAGAAAGTGTCCTTGTGTTTTGGTTTGTTCACGGCCGACGCTCCAGTTTGAACGTTTCTTCTTGGACACAGAAGCGGAAATGAATGACGACGGAGACGAATCCGATCCTTTGGGTTTCACACACAGAATGTGTTTCTTAAAAACACCCGTCGTGTTGGCGTGCCTTGTGGTGACCTTTGACACCACAGTTAAAACACAAATCTGTCCGTTGGTCCAATCGACTTCATACAATGAACGAGGTGAAAATCCAAATTCCACATCAAGCGTCTAAAAAACGACTTTTTTACTACATTAGACAAGAAAAAAATAATTCTTAAAAATGACCTCAAGGTCAAAATTAAAACGTCACAGTCTACAGATGTGGCTGCATTTGTCCCTTTGAGACGCCCGGTCCAAGGGTCTTCTTCATTCCCCCACGTTTACAACTTCTCCATTGATTTTTTTTTCCAGATTCCAGGACTTTCTCTCCCAACACGGTTCAGATTCACTGTCTCTTATTTTCCTCCACCGACGTCGAAGGCCTGTATCAGCAGCAATAACACGGACCTGAGGTTTAGCACCGTTTACTTCCAGGCGTTCGGTCGACAGACGCGAGGACGCGGACGTGGAAATTGGTTTCCATTGGGGACGCGGACGTGGAAATTGGTTTCCATCGGCTTTTCTTTTTCTGCCTTAACCTCGACAATGACGCGGCTGCGGCTCAGAGCGCGGCGGCGTCGCACGTGACAGTCTGAAGTCAGTTTCCAGGTGAAAATGATTCTGCTATGCATAAGAATTTTACAAACGTTGCCCAAAGCCTTTAAGAATTATAGGGAAAAAAAATAAAAACGAGACCTTGATGCCTATAGTTTCAGACTGCAGCAGTGAAGATGTTTGAGGACAGATAGGGAAAATTATACGTGTGTGTGTGTGTGTGTGTGTGAGAGAGAGAGAGAGAGAGAGCGGACGACGGATGTCTTCACCAAACGTGCTGTACAAAAAGACAGGATTTGTTTCAAGGACAGAAACACACGGTTGTGTATTTAAATCTATGCAAACCATAAGAGGCAAATGTGAAAAATGATTGACATTTTAACAGAAGTGAGATTATATATATATAAAAAAACAAAAACAATATTTGTAAAGTTTCCTATGAATTTAAAGTCAAACAGATAACCATTCAGACAGAGTCACTCTTTGGATGCCTTAACTCTTGTTGTGTGTCTTTATGTTGATTATAGCTCCCCCATGAGTACGAAATAAGCAACTACTACTATTATTATTATTATTATTATTATTATTTGTCGTTTATGTGGGGACACGGTGTGGACATTCAGGGTAGGACAGGAGAACAGTAAAGGAGAAAAACCAGCATCAAGAGTCAACCCTGTCCCTGTGTTTGTCCTCCCACTGTCCGTCCTCTTCTGTCTCAACCAAAGACTGAACAATGGTAAAAAAACAACAACAACAACAGAGACTGTTGAACTCTATTTTTATACTTTTAAAATGGATGTCATTCCTAAAAGGCTGGGGACAAGGTGTGGATGTGAGTATAAATATCTATAGATCTGTGTATATATAGATATGACCCACGCTCCAAACTAAGAAAAAAGGAGAACTTGATTTGTACCATAGGAGGATGAAAGGCTTTCGCCGATGTTTACCGAGCCTTGTGTTGTCATTTCTTGTATATTTTGTATGTTCAGTTGTTTTGTAATTTTTAAGACTGCAGTGCTTTTGGAATTTTACTGAAAGGGAAACCTTGCATCATACCGTAGGCTCTAAAGTAGTGGAAATCAATAAACGTCAAAACTCAAAGCCTCCGGGAGTTTCCTTCACTGATTGTCTGTCCACGGACGTCACACAACTGAACAAAACATATCTATATATATATATATATATTTATATATGTATCTATATATAGATATACACATATATATACACATATATACATATAAATGTATATATATACATATATATGTATATATACACATATATAGATATACATATATAGATAGATATATATACATATAAATGTGTATATATAAACATATATACACACACATATAAACATGTATATACACATATTTTTTTTGAAATATTCATGAAAAATACTTTTTGGACTTTTAAACACAAAATATTCAC